GAGAGTGGCTGAAGGCCCACCTGCCAATGGTGGGGCGGGCGATGCAGGGGATGTGAAGCAGGCCTGAGCCCACTGAGAGGAGGGAGTGGTTAGGTTGTTAGGAGGTTAGGAGGTCGCAGAGGTAGGGGGGAGAAAGGCCATGGAGGGCTTTGAAGGTGAGGACCAGTATCTTGAACTATGTGATAGGAAGCCAGTGGAATCATGCGAGGATGGGGGTGATAGGGTCACGGATCCTTGTACGGGAGAGGACGTGAGCTGCAGAGTTCTGGATGATCTGCAGCCTATGGAGGGAGGAGTTGGGAGACCGACAAGCAGGGAGTTTCCGTAGTCGAGCCTGGATGTTATGAATATGTGTATGAGGGTCCTGGCAGCCTGCAGTGTGAGGCAGTGGCAGAGCCGAGCTATGTTGTGGGGGTTGGTAATAATAGTACCAACTACAACAACTTGCACTTAGATGTCTTTCTTGGAATTAACTATCTCTTGTGGAAACAGGGTGGAAGCCTGCCCAGGTTATGAAATAGAGCACGTAGGTCGAAAATGACAGCAGTCAAATAGGTAGTTGCTTAGAAAAGGATATTGAAAGCTGAGAGGGAGAGTGCAAGGTGGAGGGATTTGGGGAAACAATTCCAAATAGTGGGGGCAAGGTAGCTGAAGGCTCACCCAGCAATGTTTGAGTGGAGGGATGGGTTAGTGGATCAGGCCTGCATTGGCAAAGTGAATTGAGTCGGCAAGTGAACAGGACTGTAGGAGACCACAGAGGTAGAGTGAAAGTTAGAACAAGGGTCTTAAAGTCAATCTGCCTGGGAAAGGGAGCAAGTGGATGTGGGTGATGGGCTTGCAGAGTCAGGTGTAGCTTGTGAAGGTTTGAGTTGGGAAGTCGATGAGGAGGTGATTGAAGAAGTCAAATCTGAAGGTGAAAAAGATGAAGAGGAGTTTTGACAGTATTGGTGGGTTAAGTAGGGAGGTGTGTGATGCTTGTCCCCCTCCTTGCTCCCTCCCTTCCCTCCCCTCACCCTGACCATTTCCCCCCTCCTCGCTCCCTCCCTTCCCTCCCCTCACCCTGACCATTTCCCCCCTGCTCGGGTCATGACCCAACTGTGCAGCGCCTTGGGACGTCCTCCTGACGTGAAAGGCGCTTTATAAATGGAATCTTGTTGTTGTTGTTGTTGTTGTTGTCTAATAGTTAACAAGAAAAATTAAAGCTCCACCGTTAACTTAGGGAAAGGAGGAACATGAATTTTACTGTTAGAGGTGGTAAGAAAATGGGGAAGGTATGTCAGAGTTAAGTTTGGAAAAATTAGAGGAGTTTGCAATTAGGATTAGTATCTACAGTATTAACAACAGCTTTGATTTAGGGATCAAGACATGGTTTAAGATTAGAAGAAACATTAGCTTGTCTCTTGATATACTTTACCTTGTCTTTGAATATATTGAATTAAGCTTATAATAAATTTACTTTTTGATGTAGAAAAACAGCAGAGATTGTATTTCATAGTTCTAATAATTTCAGATAATAAACACGAGCCCCACCACTCGTGAAACCTTATAACAAAGTGGTGAGAATGCTAGTTGACACTCTACCTTCCCTATGCCCTTCTATTACCTTCTTTCTGATATATGCTGCTGCTTCTTCATGATTAATGTTGTTGGTTCTTTAACGTCCACCTAAATAGGCAAGTTGTATCTTGGTTTAACATCTCCCCAATAGATGGCACCTCCACCAATGCAGTGCTCCTCATTACTGCACCAGTGTCTGCCTGGCACAGACTATGAGATAAGTCTCAGCATGGGGCTTGAACCCTCAACCTTATATCACAGTGGTGAGAACGCTGGTTGACATGCAAATAGCAGTATATCAAATGTTAAAAGCCAGCCATGCCCAAGCTCTGCAATCTTCTTTACCCATAACAACCCAGCCATTCTCATTGCTCAGCCAACATTGGCCTACTTCACATCCCCCACCATTGGCAGGCGGGCTTTCAGTAACTTGGTGCCCACTCTTTAGAACACCAATCCCAGGTCTCTCCAACTTGTTCTTCCTTCCCCTCTTTTTAGATACATCTCAAAACATACTTTTTTGACAGTGCTTTTGGTCATTGTTCCCCTACTCACTGCCCTCAGCTCCCACCCTCAGCTCCAGTGCCCAGTAAGAATTGTCAAGCACTTTGAGACATCCTCCCAATGTGGGAGGTACTATATAAGTGTGAATTGTATTGTATTGTAATTCAAAACTTGCCATCATTAGTGCTTCATTAGAAATGCATCAAACTCTGAAATGTCTGCTGCCAATAACAACAACAACAACTTGGATTTATATAGCACCCTCCACGCTGGACGGCATCTCAGAGCGCTTTACGGTAACGGATCCCGGGGCCGAGCCAGGAGGATGGGGAGGAAGGTGACCAAAGGTGCGGTCAAAGAGAAAGGTCTTCAGCAGGGACCTGAAAATAGGAAGAGAGGGAGCGAGACGAAGGAAGTGAGGAAAGGATGAATGTCTTTGTCAGTGACTGCCGCAGTCTGACAACACCTGATGAGTAAATGTGTCAGTCGAGGGTTAATCAATGGTACAGGACATGTGGGAGTAGCATATAAGAACGTTATCTAATCAAGGAGTTTCAGGTCACTTCACAAACTGTGGGAGAAAGTGAAGCTGAAATGGTTTGTCATTCTTATGAGCTCAGTATTTCTAAATTAAACGTTCACTTTTTAAACCCCTGCCATCACCATTAGACTGCGGTACAAAATAATATTAGCCCTCGCTGAATATTGGGCTCATGATATAAGAGAAACCAAGGCCTAACGTAATAAAATTTACAATTATATCTCGCCTTTTACGTCAGGAGGATATCTCAAATGTTTCACAATGCTGGATGGGCACCTGAGCTGGGGATGACAGCCAAGGTGAGGCAGAGGGCAAGGTCACCCAACGTACAGTCAAAAAGTATGTTTTGAAACGGAGCAAATTGTAGGGACTCCAGGATGGAGTTCCAGAGAGTGGGGACAGAATAATAATAATACTAATCCTTGCGTTTGATATAACGCCTTATCATGTCATCGAGACATCTCAAAGCACTTCACAGAATATACTGTGAAGTGTATTGCCTGTAACTTTGTGGGCGAAACCCGGCACACAACAGTGTCCCGCAAACAGTCGTGGATATTTACCAAATTATTATTTTTTTAAAAAATTTCGGGAAGGGATTATTGCCCCAGGAAATGCGATCTGCCAATCGACTAACAACAGGATTCCTACTTACTGCTAGGTAAACAGAGCTGTGTGGCGTAAGGAAAGTTGCTAAAAGTTTCGCCCTGCCAGGAATTGAATCCAGGCCCTTTCGCTCTAACCACTAAGATACAGAACTCCACAAATCGATGGCTAAAACCCTGCCTGCCAATGGTGGGGTAAATAGGATGGGGGCAGGTTGGTTATGTAAAATAATGCGAGAACGGGCAGATAATTGATGTAATGTGGTTCTGGTCTTCTCATAATATTGGTTTAGTGAAGTAAATTTGTGTCATTTTGTTGGTGAATTGCACATAAATTCAATATTTTCATTGCCATATATCTATACCTATATGATATATTAATGTTGAAACGTCTTTTAAAATAAATATTTTTGTGATCTGCTCAAAAGATTTATTTTTGATTTGTCCTCTTTCTGGTGGCTTGGATTTCTGATGTCAAGACAAAATTAACTATTGTAATGAACTAACACTAATAATAATAATCCTTGCATTTTGTGTAGAGTCTTTCAAATCGGAAAGATGTCTCAAAACGTTTCACAGGATATGCTGTAAAATGTAGCGCCTGTGTATTTTGTAGGCAAATGCAGCAAATTGTGCTATGCCAAAGTAACAATAAACCTTGAGTTTAAATGCCCAATTGAATAAGCAGACCAGGACCTCATCCGAAGAATGGCACCTCCAACAATGCAGAGCATTCCCAGCACTCCAGTGGAGGATCAGTCTAGACAATGTGAGTTCAAAGTCTAGACATGGGGCTTCAACCCACAACTTCTGATTCTGAGGCGTTGGTGTTACCAACTGAGCCAGGCTGACACCTACAATACTCTCATAATAATAATAATGTAGAATAAAATGTAGAACAATGTGGAATAAAATGGTCTCATTTGGAATTTTAAAAAAAACAGTTTGGTCGCGATTTCTCATTTAGAAATTAAGGCAAAGCTTGTAAATGATGATAGGTTTTATTGTCCTTTGCAGTCCTGGCCCTTGAAGTGCTGAATTCCTTTTGCTGCTTGAATTGTTAAAGGAGATCATTATCAAAAGGAACGTGCATCAGCAGAACAGCTCGGGATGTGTAAATCATTCATTAGAAAACATTAATTAGATTTGGTATAATGTACCCAATACATTAATAGTATATATAATACATTAGCTGCATGGCTTGATTTCTGTAGCTACTCTGATTTCATGCCTGCAATAGCTACACTGTAAGAAGGTACCACAGCCCACACAACAAAATTACCTGACAATTAGGTCAGACAAACCACAGTCTTTCCCTTCTGTTATCTCATTTTACAGGAGTTATTATCATTTAGGTAGTTCCAAAAAGTTAAATTGAAAGAGATTCATTCATATTTAAAATGCATCCTTCAGCAAAAAAAAACATCAAACCTTTAACAAAATTTCCACCTCACAGTGTTAAGTCAGAATTTTTTTTTTCTCCACCACTGTTTCAAGTCATGGTTTAACATTTTGAATGAAGCCTCTCTGTGTGTGGTTTATCGGTTCTGGTTTCCCATCGCGTGTAAACGGGGGGGAAGGTTTGGGTTGAATTTTTCTCTCTATATGATAATGAGAATGAGTGTCCTTCCACCGTCACATTCACGTAACTTAGGTAAAGGAGATAGGGGGAAGCTGAGCAACTCGATTGTTATCAGACAGCTCTACCCACAGCATAAATTACAGACAGGTTTCCTCGCCGTATAAAAGGGGATTTCAATCATGTTCTCCAATATTCGTCAGTGACTGCGAGTCACTAACACACCCAGACAGCGAGCGAGAGAGATGTCTCCAGGCTTCAAGGTTCAGCTGCACCTCGCACTGCTGTGGATGGTGATTCTCCAGGGAAGAGGCAGATACATAGAGGTGGGACACTGCCATCGCTCAATGTCTGGCACACAGGGATTCTCCTCCGTCCATCCATCCATCCATCCATCCGCTCATCCATCCACAAAGCTATCTTTTTTTTTATGCAATTTTTTTGAAACAATAAGTCGTGTTTAAAGTAAACTCGCCCATTCGGTCCATTCATTGTCAGATCGACTTCTTTTTGACGTTGCGCTAAAATGTAAGTGTTTTTTGTGTAGGAATCGCACACCATTCCATGTGGCGCCTGTGTTTGTGTTTCTGTTGTCACTTCACGTCGGATTATTTGATTTGATGTGGGGGTCAAGGTATCCAAACCCACATCGAGGGCTTTCGTATTTAAGTGGAGAACTTTGCACAAAAAGAAGTGTTTTAATCCATTGCTTTTCGAACTGCTTCGCTTTCAGTCCAACCTTTCTCTTGGATTTCTATCGCAGACTGCAATACAATGCCACGATCATTAGTAGTTAAATAACGTGTCAGATTACCTGTTGGGGAAAAAATCTGTTCCTTAGTGACTGTTCAGATTTTTTTTAAAAAAGTATTTTTGTTTTGTCTTTTCCCAATACTCGGTCTGCTTAAACTTTATATATTTCAGAAAAACACTCATAAGAGCACCGATTCTAATTTGTTTTAACCAAAAAGTTTGCAAAGGACACGTCTGATGTGCAATTGTTGTGATTTGCAGCTCTTAAACAGCGCCTTTTGTTTTCGAAAGGTCTCTTTACGACTCAACATCTGTCCCTTGTTGTGTTTTAAAGCAAAATGAAATAATCGACGACGTGTTTGGGATGTTAAACTCTGAGCTAAAGAGAGAACTTTCGGAAGATTACATTTATCGCAGAAGTCTGAGTGAGTATATGTGTGTGTGTGTGTGTACAGTATCATCAGGACCAGCCCATCAAACAGCAAGAGCAAGTCAGGAGCCCCCAGTGACCTGCCCACCTCCGCTCAGTCACTTGTACATGGAACAACAACAAATATAGACTGAAGTTGCACGGCACAAATCCACATTAGGATGAGCTGCTGCCGCAACTTCAGGTTCAGTCGTGTGCGATATTAAACTGCGTCTCATGTGTATTCAACCGTTTTAACCTGATTCGGGATTTGGATGCTCGACTGATAATCGTGGCCACTGGTTTATTGACCAGTGGACTGTGCACGGTTGTAAGGCTTGTCATCCGCCCACACCTTTACCCGAGTCAAGTGGACATCACTGGTTTGTTTGGGATTTCAGTCTATGTCGCAGCATCCAATGAGTAGTGTTTCGAAATTGTTATTTTGGTACTGTACATCTCGGATGATGTTCCCAATAGCTTGTGCTTTGCACATAGTTGGGACTCTGTACGTTCTGCTTCAGAAGAATAGGTTCCAGGGAGACATTAGGTATTCCAGTCTATAGAGTTTTTACCTGAAACGGGAAAGTGAAGTCCTGGGTGTCAGCAGGACAGGTCTGACCAGATGTAAATCATACAACACACAGGGAGAGAGTGCACATTCCTTTCCAACAATCTATCTCTGGAATTTCCACCTGAAGGTGGGATGCAATTCTCAGTTTGATTTGGATACTTTTAAGCATGATGATCGGTTTCCGCATGTGTCAGACACCCACCCACCCGGTTGACCAAAAAACTAATATCATTGAGGTCAGAAAATCATCCAGGAAAAGCTAAACAGAGCAACAAATGTCAGAGTGGAATTGATGTCGGCATCATAATAACGTCATTTTAGTTGTTCATATTCATTAGAGCCCCATAGAGTTGAACCAGTTCCCCAATGATGTCATCAACAGTCACCAACACAAAATTTGCTTCACTAAAATTAATGTCCATTTCTTTTAAAAATCACAGTGCATTTGTCTGAGCTTTTAACATGAACTCTTATGATGAAACTCATTCTTTAAGCAAGTGTGTGAAACTGGCTCATCTAAGAATGTTTCAAACGCTATTGTAAGAGTGCTTTTTCTGTTCTCAACTCAATTGGTAACAGTACCTCAGAGATAATGAATATTCAGATAGAGAGATGCCACTTATCATCTCTCCAGGGGATATATTTAGTCATTCTATTCATTTTATTCATCTCAAATGGTGAGGGGTGGATTGATAGGAATTAAGAACACAGAACTCTCTGGGCCAAAGTGCTGAAGTACTAAACCAACCAAACTATCTGGTATGTGGGTCTCCATTACTGTGATTCAAAGTAATTACAAATAATCAAAACAGATTATTTGCTAATTCTAAACCATTAAACAGAATTAATGCCACCTCAAGGAGATTTATAGGAGAAATGTATCACTGCTTCCACTGTTGGAGCTTCTGCTTAGTTAGGTTTTTATCCAATAGTATGAAATGTTCTTCAATGGGAATCTTCACTTTGCACATGAGAAATGATTATTTATTACAGTGATAACTCGTCACTCCAAGGGACAAGGGCTTAGTGACAAGTTATCCAGAGTGGTGAGTAATTCAAGAAGTGCATTTGTATAAATACATAAATAAATATGGCTGGGATCTTGATAGCATGATGACTTAAGCGGTAGTGACAAGTTGAGCCAGGGTCGAGTTATCAGGAGTTTACTGTATAATACAATCTTTTCTTTTCATAGAATGTATTGACATGTTGAGTCTGGATGGACAGTTTACATTCACTGCTGATCGGCCACAGCTCAATTGCGCCACCTTCTTCATTAGCAGTCCTGATGAGATTATCACTATTGAATATAATTATGTCAACATAGACTGTCAAGGAGGCGACTTCCTCAAGGTAAACTTGTTTAAGCAGTAGTATAACAGAGTGAATCAATAGCTCTTTGCATTTAAAGTTTCCTTGGTCCTGCTTTGAAATGACAATAATTTACCACAAAAAGCTAATTTAAGCACTTTGAGACATCCTCCTGATGAAAAGAAGAAAAAAATTAAATTGTAATTGGATTGTAATTCCTATCTTTCCTGGATTCGCTTAGTAATACATCAGTGCTTCATGTATCTATTTATCTAGCTTTAATCCATTTGTTTGTTATCTTTCTGTTATCTTCTTTTTTACCCATCTGTTTCTTGATCTTCTGTCATCCTTCTATCGATCCATTGATTATCTATGTGCTCATCAATCCGTCTTTTTTGTCATCTATCTTTCTGTCACTCTCCATATAAATCTGCCTGTCAGTATATCAGTTACATCACTTTACAATGTATCTTGTGCAGCACTTTGAGACAACTCATCGTCTCAGTGATATCGGGGTGATAAAGTACTATTCAAATGCAAGGAATAAATAAAACAAGTACTTCACATGAATTACAGTTAAGAGTGCAGTGACTGTCTATATGTAGATATATCCTTTTTTTCTTCATTCACTCATCTATTTTGGTTTCTTTCTTTGGAGTTTCTTTTGATTGGTCTCCATAAACTCTATTATTTTCTTTTCTTAACTGAACATTTGTTTGCGAGGTAGTGAGAACTTTATATTCTTTACTTCCCTAAAGCATCAAACCATCCACATCCCATCGTGTCTGTGCCAGCTCTTTGAAAAAAGCTACCCAAATCAATCCCGCTCCCCCTCCACTCTCTCCCCATAGCCCCGCTCCCCCCCCCACCCCCACCCCCATAGCCATAGTCTTGTATTTAGTACAACAGCTTTCATGTCAGGATGATGTCTCAAAGCACCTTCACAGGATTTTATTGTAAAGTATAGTGACTGTATTTGGTAGGCAAACCTGGCATCCAATTTATACACAGCAATATCCCACAAACAGCCATGAAGTGAATGACACCTCTTATCTGGGAATTGTTGGCCAGGACACCAGGAGAAATTTGTTTCTCTCTTCAATCTTTTAACATCCACCTGAACAGGGCAGTACCTCTGACAATGCATTTTTAAAACTTATATCTATCAATCAGCCGTTCTGAACCAGCAGCTCGAATGCTACAAACTAGAGCAAATTGGTACAGTTGAAGAGATATACTATGCAAAGGGCTGGTTCTTCTTAACCTGAAATGTTGCTGTGTGCTGCAGTCTTTAACAATTTCAATAGGTGTCATGTTGCATTGATGCCCCATTCTATCTTCATATGCCAAGCGGAGTACAGCACTCTTAGATGCTTTGCTTTTAGACAGATTGATGCACATACAGAATAACCATAGCATTCCCTCCCTTTGGCTTTTGTGCACATGAAGAGATACCCTCAGCTATACTTGTCTGATAATTTAGCTGACAAACTGACAAACCTGATTTTCTACTAGCTTTGTTTTTTGTTGTTAAATTATTGTGTATTATCCAGCTCCTTGGGACTCCCGACGTGAAAGGCGCTATACAAATGTAATTTTGTTGTTGTTGTTGTATTGATGTCCAGGTCTTCGACGGGTGGATATTGAGAGGGGAGAAGTTTCCGAGTACCATAGACCACCTTCTCCCCCTTGCCGAGCGCTACATTGATTTTTGTGATGGTAGTGGCACCAAGACGGTCTTCAGGTCATCTCAGAACGTGGCGATGCTTTTCTTTAGGATTCACATGCCTGGAAATGGGTTTTCTTTAACAGTAACAAAACTAATCAATCCATTTCGTAAGTACTGATCAATTAATTTATAAATATAAAGTAATATTTCTTATTATGGTACAAACAAAAAATGAAAAATCTTTTCAGGCAAGTTATATCAGTTATTTAAAAGCAATAGTCATCAGGATTTATGGATATAGAATGAGAAAAGGCTATTTGGTCACATCCATCCCCGACATCATGTGGTTTATGGATTGCAGTCAAGCCCATGCTCTAACACAGATTACTTTTTTTCAATGCCTAGTTTATACTGCTAAATTGCCACAAAAAATAGTATGAATCATGTGTAAAATATCCGTGGGCAAACAAAGCAAATTGCACTGGAGGCCGGCTGCTGATACAACCTTTGGGGATTATTCCACCAAGATGTTGATTCACACACCTATGGTATAGATGCATAAGGTGTGAATAGACATCTGCTCAGAAGATTTGAAAATAAATAGTCTTTCAAAAGCATTCACCACTCTCGAACTTTTATTATCTTTAAAGTCAGTGGCATGACTTTTGTTTTCAGTAACTGTTTTGTAGCTTGCTCCTTATGCACTCTGCAGGACTTGACTAGATATTCCCTGAGCATCCAGTGAGAGAGTTTGGAGTGGGAAATATATATCCTATTAAAACAAGCTAAAATTATATATTATTTAAGTTGGGCATTTGCTCATCTAGTGATATTACTCTATTAATATAGCACTTAAGAATGTGTAGACTGTGTGTAGAGTGTGCCTTCGCCTTGCTTCCTCCCTTTCCTCCTTCAAGGCCGGTCTCTAAGACCTTTCTCTTTGACTGTGCCTTCAGCTCCCCTCTCGACTCTCTAACCCCTCCTCGCCCTCTCCCCTCCCTCCCCTCACCCTGACCATTTCCCCCTTGCTCGGGTCCTGACCCAACTGTACAGCGCCTTGGGACGTCCTCCCGATGTGAAAGGCGCTCTATAAATGGAATCTTGTTGTTGTAGACTATTAATTCTCAATTAATTTAGAAATATTTTATTTGCAAGTTATTTTAAGAACAATAGGATGCAAGTTTCAAAGTTAAAACTGAATTTTGCGCACTCTAAAATGCTACGTTAATATAGTAAACCTAGAGCCAGCTGGAATTTTCAACCCAATATTCACTCAGAACGTCATTTGTTCTTTATAAACCAAAGTACTTTTAGCCAGAAGATATGAAATGTTCCTTACAGTTTGATAGCAATAATAAAATCTTCCGAGCTTGTTTCACTGTTTACTCATACACCGTGTTTTCAATATTCGTTTGTGCACTATGTCTACTAAAAATAACACAGCCAAGCCATTAGTTTGTTCAAAACTATAACTGAATGAACACATTATGAGACTACATACTCAGATGTAATGCAGCACACAATGTTGCTAGACATATTCAATAAATACTCTTATATTAACATGGTGCCATTAAAAATGATATAGTAACATAAGAAAAAGAATAACTACATTTATCCTTTCTAGATTGAAAACTTGTTTGGCTCATTAAGTACAGCACAAATCGAGTAGAGGTTTTAGGATCATTGTTTGAAGGTTTTAATGTTTTTATACGGCAAAATCTAGTTTCATTTTTTGCACATACTGCATACATGTCCTAACAGGACGTGAAAGTAAAATGCTGGTATTTTGAACAGAGTTTGACTGAGAGCTGAGTAGTTTGTATTTGGTAATTTCTGGCTTACAAACACTGTTTCTTCTCCTTCAAAGCTTGCAATGTGATTTCTCAGACGCCTGATGGAAGGTTCACCATGGTCATTCCTCATCAGAAGAGAAACTGCAGTTTTTCCATCATTTATCCAGTGGAAATCAAATTATCTGATCTCAGCCTGGGACATTTCAATAATCTGCATCTGAAGGTGAGCCACTGTCGTACCTACAAAGATTTAATGCAGATGCTCAGTAGTTGAAAATTAGCTTATTGGAAGAAGTAAATTGGTTTCAATTGAAATTCAGTCCAGAGTATAATAATGCAGCATAACAATACACTGATAATAATATAACAATAATACTTGCATTTGATATTGACTCTCGTCACGTAAATATATTTCAAAGTGCTTCACAGGTTTTTTTCTGTGTACTTGAAGGAAAATAAAGCAGCAAATTTACAACAGCAATGTCCAAATGGATGAGCATTTTTTGTCTTGTGCATTGCTGGCCAGGGTTCCTAGAGAAACACCCCCCTTCTCTTTTCAAATTGTTCCATAAGATCTTTAATATCCACCTAACAGACAGACGCGATTTTGGTTTTGATATTTGACCTTTGTTCAGATTAAACACATGGGCCATTCACCCACAAATACACAGCCACTACAAGTCACTACAGTCACTTGTGAAGTGCTTTGAACTGTTGTAAAGATGTGATAAGGCACTTCCCCATCACCACATTGGAGTGTTAGCCTAGACTATGAATTTGAAGTACTCTGTCCAGCGCCTTGGGACGTCCTCCCGACATGAAAGGCACTATACAAATGTAATCTTGCTGTTGTTGTTGAAGTCTCGATGTGAGGCTTGAACCCACTTTCTGACTCAGAGGCAGAACATTCTGACTCAGAGACAAAACTCTATCAATTGAGGCAGACTAGTGTCATTCATGATAAGATGAGAGTCTTTGCCTTTTACCTGTTGTAAGGGTCCCAAATGTCAACTCTGATCATCATTCATTAAGTATCATACAAACTCTTAGCAAAAAATACTGAATATTATACTAACTCAAAACATATACAGTATCTATACATCTACCATGCATTAGTTTACCCAAAAATATAAAGATAAGCAACCCATAATTTTTAATCCACTTGGCAGTTATACTCTTGGGTATCAAACACTCACTTTAGACAGAAATTTGTGGGATCAATATTTCATTCTCACACATTCACTCAACTGTTCACATATTGATAGTTTTAACCTTCTTTATTTCCAGAAGGGTTTACCTGTTAAGGTTAGGAAAATTAGATATTGAAACATGTCACACATCCCCTAACACATGATGTTTGGAACATGTTTCTACGTTAAACACTATGACCTATAATATGAACTTCTGTTACATAACTCCACATGTTGCTCATGAGAAGAGGGTGATTCCATGTGCAGAATAGAATGATTTGCATGTCTGTTATTTGAGTTACAGGATACCAGAGGTCTGAAATTTCAGCCTGTCTTAGTCTGTAAGACCGGTTTGTCTTAAAATGTAAAATCATACAGAATTGTGGAAAAATCTTAATATCTGTCTCAGTTTGAAAGCAGAAAATCATCTTTTAGATTAAGAATAAATTCAAGAATTTTCCACAACGCAACAGAATTTTTAATTTTAGGCAAAAATGGTTTTATATGATCCCGACGTGAAAGCCGCTTTACAAATGTAATTTTGTTGTTGTTATAGGCTAAAACAAAATGGAATTTCTCTAATTAATGAAAAAAATTAATCAATTATAATCAATCAAACAAAATATTCTGTTAAAGTTGATATAATAACAAATGCAGTCAAGTTGTTCAGTGTTTTTGCTAACTGTGAAATAGATTGTGTGGGCTTTAATGTATTTTGTGGTCCAGTGAGCATGAGGAATTGCTTGATAGATTTTCCTGTGTTTCCTTCTTTAGATACCCATTACCAGCTGTAGTGGGGCGACTGATTTCATAGAGCTATTGGGAGGGAACAAACTGGACCCCAGTAGGATGTACCCTGTGGCTGATATTTGCTACTCATTCAGTGGACCCGGTGAGAAGGCAAATGTGGTTTAATCAATCAGAATTGTCTCAATATACATTTATTATATATTCAAAATTATGTTTCTCATTTTTTCTAATAATATTTATGAAAGGATATAGTGATAAGATAAACATGATACTTTGTATCAATACGTTTGACTTGGAGTCAGCAACTTTGCACCTTGCATTGCTCCTTGTACGGTTTGGGGAGAGAGCTATGGCCTAATAAGCAGCCGGCCAGCATAAAACATTGGTATTTGCTTGATAGTTTTAGTGTGATGTTCAGCTACATAAATGAAGGATGAATGTTCTTTCAAGTTGTATATTCTACAAGTTGCAGTTTGGCAATTTGGTCCGAATGGAATTTTCTTCCTGCCCATCAGTTTCAGTTTCACCTTAATCCTGATTTTATCTTATTTTGTGCCCAATAGCAAAAAAAAAGTTCCCAAATTTATCAGCACTCAACCTGTCCATGTCCTAGACATGGGAAATGAAAATTATTAATAAATCATTACATTAAGTGGTACTCGAAGGAGGTGGAGGGCTTTGTAATGTTATCCTTAGAATGGGACTGAGAGGCTGAAAGACAATAAATAGAGGTTGACACATGCATAAAATTAAGACAAAATAGCCATGACTAAAAATGTATTATTGAAGAGGTTCATGTTCTCATGTTCTCTGTTTGTCATATTCTCTGATAAACCAGAAAAGTCACAGCCACAAGTCAAGGATATCATATATGTGAATCTGCTTTTACTTTCATAGTTGTGAAAACTTGAGAAAACTCTGAAAATGCTGTTATGAAAATTCATACAATGGGTTCCCACTGCAGCATCGGATAGAATACCTTCAAATTGATCCAATAACATCACCGTGTAAAATAATTAGCTCATTTAAGACAAAATTGTTTTATTTCAGATGAACAACGTTCGAGTTTGTACATAATCGAACCTTTTGTTACAATGTCCTGGGAATAGAAAGAAATCTCATTGCCACAAAAGCTTTACTGTTCTAGCAGTAGTTTTAACACAATTTTGGTCTGAGCACTCGATTAGAGAACGTGCTCCAGTGCAGTCAGTTGGCACTTATCCCCACATTTGCAGCAACGCCAGTGAATTATTGTTTGTGCTACATGGGAATGACACATTAGCATGCAGGAGCTTTAGGAATCTGGATGTTTTCATAATAATAATCCTTACATTTGATATAGCACCTTATCACATCTTCGAGACGTCTCAAATTGCTTCATAGAATTTCTGTAAAGTGAATTGACTGTATATTTTTGTAGGTGAAACAAAAGGGCGTTTAGCACATGTTCAGGCCTTTTTGATTCTTCTCACACCCCAGGTGATTTTCCCCTTCTCTAATTCAAGAATACTGAGGACTGGGCAAATCTTGAATCAGATGAATTATTAACACATTACATACATTACCCCCCCACCCCACCCAAATAAAATTATCTTATATTTCTGAGGGTTAGCATACAGTTAATATTAATAATTATAATAATGATGCATTTGATATAGCAATTTGTTTGTGTATTCTTTGCAGGTAAAATTGTTAAAATTAGGCCGAGGGCATTAATATTTTTTTCTGTGCTTCCAGTAACAGAGTCATTTCTGGGTCTGATAGCAACAAACTTCACTTTGAATTTCGAAATGCGCAGTAGTTGCTTTATTCAGCCGTTTCCTTCCTTGACAATAAATCTTTCATTGCAGCTCAAATGAAAGTCGGTTGCGACAACACTGTGGTGCGGATGGTATCCAGCGGCAAATACATTAATCGTCTGACATTCGAGTACCGCCAACTGAGCCCGCGCGAGCTGGAGAAACCCAATAGGAACAGTGTGGAGGATTTCTGCTACACTGATGACTGAGCGGCTGGCAATGTGCTACTTTGGGCCACTCAGATTCCCAGCTGTGGGCTGCTCTGCTCTTCTGCTCTCAAAATAATTGAAGGGATTTGTGGTGGATATGTGCTGCTAAATTGTTAATTTATTAGATTTTTGCCAGGTAGCTATTATTTTCTTTTCTGACCTAACTACTGGACTCTGTGGTGAATTCTTATGATTGAACCATTAGCTTAGTTGGCAGATCTCTTTACTGTTAAATCAGCAGCAAAACTCTAAAATAGAAATAAACTACTCCATTGCTTGATGCATTTTTTAAAAAATAATGATGTAAACTTACTTTTGCTTTCTATTTATTGCTTAGGGATTATTCTGTTAGACTTGACCACCAGCACTGTATAAAAACACTTTGTGAGGAGTATTGTGTAAATAAAGGAAATTAACAGCAATGTCTTCATTCTGTGACAAGTGTTGCAAAGAATGACATTTTATTCTGCACTGACAAAACATGAAACATCAATACAACTGAACAGTCTTAAAAAACAAAAACAACTTAGAAAAGAGCATCCTCCACCCAAAATGTCCTGTAAGATCTCATATTGATCAAACTGAGTCACAATACAATTTTACAGGAGTTACATTGACATACGGATAGCTTAAAACTTAACATGTTACTATTCTAACACAATCTCATATTAAAGTACAAGATAGAGAGCAAGGGATAGAAAAGAATTCATTTTTATTTGCTGATACATCACATTAATATTAATAGACATTTAGTGTTATTGTTTATAAACGTATCATTATTTAATATTTATTTGTATTGAACTTCTTTTTAATAAAACTTTGATGGCGTGAGAATGTGTTCTTCAATCAAGTTATTGACCATGTAACAAGAATTTTAAATGCTTTTAAAAAATTAAATCAAACCCCTCTGAAACCAAGAAAAGTAAAGTATTACAGCTAAAGTCACATCTTCAAAGTTACGGTGTTTGTTAATAAGAAAAATCACACATTTGTCACATAATTTTCATAACCTGTAGATCTAGCAGCAGTGTGGGTTCTAGACATAACCTTTCAATCAGACATGTCAAAACCATGGAACTAATTCAATCACACAGTATGGAGACAAAGTTTCTGTTTAATCTTCCACTTGTTCAGGTTCCCCATCTGTTAAATGCAACAAGAATAAATTACATTTGTATAGTGCCTTCATGTCAGGAGGACGTTCCAAGGCTCTGGACGGTCAGGGATCCACAATCAAGCTGGTGGTTGGGATCAGGAGGCGTGGAGGGCGGAGAGGGTGGGGTTCAGGAGGGTGACCGAAGGCACAGTTGAAGAGGGGGGTCTTGAGACGGGTCTTGAAGGAGGCAAGAGAGGGGGCAAGGCGGATGGACTGTGGGATGGAGTTCCAGAGGATGGGGGCAGAGGCTAAAGGCCCACCTGCCAATGGTGGGGCAGGCAAGCCAGGGCCATGAAGCAGGCAATTGTTTTGGTGTTCCAGTCCAGCATTTGAATTTCCCTGAGGGCATATTGGGGTCATGAATGTTCCCAGATGGTATGAGGACTCTGACCTTCAGAATCGGATTTAGATAGAAAAAAATCTGACATGGCACCAATTCAATTATGGAAAGGATGAGTTAGAAACCATTGTCTGGAAGTCTGTGAGCAAATTAAAAAAGTTTTAATCCACGGAACATTAGCTGGGTCTCCTTGTCTTAAATGTACATCTTCATTCTCTGGTTAGCTCTCATGGTCTAAATTAGGAATGGTCAACTTGCATCCCACAAGCCGCATTATGCATGCACAAAATCTGCAGCCCACGGACCACAAGTTGGCCATTCCTGATCTAAATCGCAATACAGTACTTGCTTACATCTCTATCAGCCATGATCATTCTTTACAGCTAACATCCCTCCTCGATTCCACATATCTTGATTCAATATCTTCCGGAGAAGGGAGGGGAAAAGAACCACGTACCACATCATAAATTCTTAGCTTTGGCTATATTTAAATGTTGGGTTTATTTTTAAATCATTTTCACCCCAAAAATTAAGATTTTTTATATCTAATTCCATTCTTATCAGTAGCTTCAACTTCAGCCTGGACGCTGTTCTGAAGGACTGCGCTGAGAAGGGGTGAAGGGCACTCTGGCCATACTCATCCCTTGTCAAGGACAGCAAGGTTCAAATGCAGGTCAAGCTTATGGCATATAAGACCTGTGGGCAAACAATCCTCCTTTATGGTTCCAAGGTCCTGCGGATGCAGCAGAGAGGCTTCCTCTGAGCCATTTGCAAAGTCTAGGATTAAGCAGTGAGGTGGATTTGTGTCAAACACAGGGAGGGAGGGCTGTGGCCTTCACTGACCTGTTGCTATGCACCCTGGAGGTGGAGATGGCTTCACAACGGGCTTGTTTATTTGCCAAGGCCCCTCGCATGAGGACTGGATTAAGCAGCTGAGCCTGAGTAAGCCTGGTATATGCATTGGATTTGGACCTGGAGAACATCAAGGTGGCTGGCACATCACAAGCTGTCCTGTAAAAGTCCTCCCACCATGCTGAAGGCCAGACAGTTTATGAGGAAACTCTGAGGCTTGAGGCGACAGCTGCTGGAGTCCAAGTTCGTGAACACGTGTTTGTACGTCCAGTGCCTGGAATCCACCTTCATTGACTTGCAAAGATGTAAGCAGATACTGTTTAAACTTTGCACCTCCTCCTGGTGGCACCTTCGATCAATGGGAAGGGATGTGTGCCCAAGCTGCGGACAGGAAGATGGTGACAATGCTCTCACACATTTCATGCTGAGCTGTGTTGTCCGCCAGGAAGCTCACAGGGAGTTCCTTGTACCTACCATCCACCTAGTGAGAGCTCAAACCTGCGCTTATCAGATGTCAAACGACCAACTACAACAACAACAACAACAACAACAACAAGATTCCATTTATTGAGCGCCTTTCACGTCAGGAGGAAGTCCCAAGGCGCTGTACAGTTGGGTCAGGACCCGAGCAGGGGGGAAATGGTCAGGGTGAGGGAGGAAAGGGAGGGAGCGAGGAGGGGGTAGAGAGTCGAGAGGGGAGCTGAAGGCACGGTCAAAGAGAAAGGTCTTGAGACCGGCCTTGAAGGAGGAAAGAGAGGAAACAAGGCGAAGGCACTGGGGATGGAGTTCCAGAGCCTAGGGGCTGAGAGGCTGAAGGCCCGGCCACCGATGGTAGGGCGGTTGAGGCGGGGGATGTGGAGCAGACCGGAGCCAGAGGAACGGAGGGTACGGGCAGGTAAGTAGGGGATAGTAGGTCGGAGAGGTAGGAGGGAGCAAGGCCGTGAATGGCCTTGTAGGTGAGGATGAGCATCTTGAATTCGAAGTCATTAACTAATGACTATCCTCCTTGGAAGCGGGGTTTCCTTAGAGCTGAACTGGTTCCAAGGTGCATGTTTGCAACGGAAAGTTGGAATCAAGCCAGCCCTCTGTGGTGGTCTTGGTAGGTTCCTTGTGGTGGTTTACATGCTCTGGGATGCTACCTCGGGTGGAGGCTGTTATACAAATGCAAGTTGTTGCTGTTGTTGGTTCTTAGCCAGGCGGGCCTGCCGATCACACACTTCCTAAGATCTACACCAAGCTCACATCACCAAGTCTCCTGACTCACAATCCCTGCTTAAGCACATTCTAACCATGACCACAGAAATACACTTGGTCATGTTGATCCTCAAGATATAAATCTCTACAAAAAAATGCAATAGAACATTTTAATTTCTCAATATAAGTTTCTACAGACACATAACTGCAATATCACATGAAGTCAAATGTAAAGAAGGATTTGGGATGAATTGAGGCTTCAGCTTTTCTAACTATTTGTAGTGTCACCAATTATGAAACTTAGCTCTCTGAAAAATAATAAAATAAACGAAAGCCTGTTTACCTAGTAAGTGGAACTTGCTTCACAGTCAATTGGTCAATCTGTTTCCAGGGGTAATAATTCCTCCAAAAAAAAAATTTGGTCACACATTCCACAACAAAGGATACTGTAGTATGCAATTAGCTGTCACATTTAACCCACAAAATAGAGTCAATTCACTTTACAATATATCTGAAGCACTTTGAGACATCTTGAAGACGTGATAAGGCACTATATCAAATGCAAGGGTTATTATTATTATCTTCTGTGAAGTGACTTGAGAAATCTCAATGATGTGATAAGGCCCTATATCAAATGCATGGATTATTTTTCTTATTATTAAAGCAATTCAGCAGTGCAGCTGGAGCTACATTTGTTTTTGTCAGTGAACAGCTTTTGTTCTGTTCTGATAATTTCAGATTTCACGACATTGTCAAGGGTAAATGATTCACTTAATAAGTTTGGAGAATGATTGTCTATCATAAATCAGAGACTGAGGATAACACAGTGGGACGGCTTTAGGAAATACTACTGATTATTTTCATCAGTCCTTTAAGTCTTTGAGATACATAGAATAAAAGATCATTAATAACACAAACAAATATTAGATACTGCTAGTGAATGTATTCTTTAGGTAATATGTCAGAATAATCCACTATTCCCTTTTACTGGAACAATCAATGACATTATTATTCCATTGTCAATTGTAATTAACTTTAATCACATCCTCACAATCCATTTAGCAATGTATCTAATGTCAAGTGTGTCACTTCCTTAGATGTGTTTTCTCAATAAATTCATGTAGAGAAAATGTGATCTTTCTGTAATGATCCAAGGAGGACATAATCAGCATACACACCTCAAGGAAGCTTTCAAATGAATCCCCTTCATTTTGTAATGATACTGAAGTGCTTTCTTCTTCATAGAAAATCAAAGTGTTACACGTTACATTTAATGTAGTATAACTTGTGCTTACAATAATGTATGCAGCTCCACGAATATTTTCCATCTGCTTTGGTATTGATATAATTTCACATGAATGTGAAAGTTATGTCCAATATTTGACTACTTTATTTCAAATTTTTGAACAAATATATTTTAATAACTGTTTTCTTACTCGCTGTTCTGAATCTGCTTATTTTACAGAATTGTAAGAATGCTAAATACCTCCGGATTATTCTTTGTTGTGTTAATACACTGTTAAGCAGAGATAAAACATTTCTGTTCTCTAAATCACCATAAAATCTCATTTGATAAAATACAGCCATGAGAGTTTCCAAATCAAATTTTAAATTGTAAACGTTGCAACTTTGATTGAAATAGTACAGCCAACTGTACTTGACTGAACTGCTTTCTCATCTTCCAATGTGAAGGTTCTGCTTTTTTTATCAACATTGATTCACATCCCCATGTTAAAGCCTTTTAGACCCATGCCTCGTACTGTGTGAATTATATCTTCCTCAGTTACCTTCAAAAGAAGTATCCTTTGTATTTATGATATCTGGGGAATACTATCACCATTACTACTTTCCAAAACAATTTATATGAATAGATTTCTTAGATAAACTGGAAATGTTTACCTGCTGCTTTGGAAAGATTACTTTCTCACAAAACCTAATGATTTGGATTGTTAGAATGCACTCATTAATTTAGGTTCCTTCTTGTATGGAAATCTATTGCTCAGAAGAATATCATGACGGCTTGTCTCAAAATATTAAAGATCCTGAATGCCTGCGTGTAATGAGCTTCGTTCGTCATAAGTATTTTAATCACTATTCAGTTCTGTTATGGCAAAATGTATTTTTAAATCA